TTTAGGAACTGATTGGGGGCTGAATTGACCTAGCTGTTGACCGCCAATGGAGCACTACCTCGGCAGCTGAATATGACCGAGGTGGACCCAGACTGTCAACACATAACCGTTTGGACGAGTTTGACTCATCGAACCCCTTCAGAGGTCAGAAGCGGTAGGGCACGACAAAGAAACGGAGCGACGGTGGCGACGTTGTAAGAAGAGGACGCCGATAGTGAAGGGCGCGGGATTTACGAACGGTACTGTCGACTTCTAGCTATTAAACTGTAGTGTTCCTTTATAATTGAGTTTGTAAATCAATATCAACTGATTAATAAATTATTTCTTTCAATAGCGGAATATTGATTACCCGAGTATTGCGTACTCCACCACCCTAAGTGAATTAATTGAGTGAATGGTACGTAAATAAGAAAGAATGTATTTAAGATTGAGTGAAAGAGTGAATGTTTAATGTTACAAACTGATTCCTTTGCTGGCTGAAATGACCTAGGTGTTGACAGTTCCTAGAGCGGAGGATTGACGGATAAGACAGAAGACCACGGACTGCGAACACCCAGGGGTGACCTTACTGCTGGCGAGAGGAGCTGTTCTTAATTGACCCTCAGACCTCCGTACCCTTTTCAAGGGATATACAATTAAATTTGTTTTTAATAGGTGGCCAACACTGATGTTTGAATTGATGGATGGCAATTGATAACACTTAAGACTCAAAATTAAATATTTAGAATTTGTTTACACAAGAAAAATATACCTCAATAAAATTTACTCAATCTAATCAACCTTACTGGCCAGGGTTTTACAAAACAGATTGAAATAAAAAAAAAAGGACGAAATGAAAAAGGTACTTGGCTGGATGACGACGGTGTCGAGATGGAGGCTATTGCTGGATTCGATGCTGACAGAAGGTGCCTGTAGAGCCTGATGACGATACAGTTGACTTAGTGGTCCGTGAGGTCGGTAATGTGACGACACGGTAACGATAGACGAAATGGATGGTTAATATCTACACAAAATCGATGATAGGTTCGATAATCGATTGGGTAGGTCGTCTTGTGCAGGCCCAAGTAAGCGAGAGACTGACCTGCTAACGTGCAAAGGTCGAAGCTGCCAGTGTTATCGCTTGCCAAAATAATAACAAAAAACAGTTCTCAGCGATTTTGTCAGGGCCTCCGCAGGCGAACCTTGGTCAGCCGAAAACAACATATAAAAATGAAGCTTCTTGGGCGTCAACAGCTAACAAAACATAAAAGAAGAAGAAAGTTGAAGGCTAGTTTTATATTAAAAAATATATAAAAATAATAATAAAAAATGGACATAATGAATATCAACAGAATGAACAGTTTAAAAAGCATTTTCTTTATCTTGCCAACGCTTTGATCTTTATTGAGATCTTGAATCAACAGGACATACAATAATGACACATCTACACAGAAAACAAACACTGAAGATGATCTCAATAAAGATCGAAACGTTGGCACGATAAATATTTTTCTAAACCGACCACACCAGACCGATCTCACGATCTCCAAATAATCATTAATTAACGGTCACTAAACACCATACACTTTAAAAAGGATCGACCCTCTATTCGGCCATTCGTCTTTTAAACTTCGGTCAAAAAGACATACGCACGAAATAGCGAGCTGATGGGAAAAAACATAGATCTTGAGTCATAGTAAGACGAAGATCGTTCACATTATGGTCAACATATTATCATCGTTGTATCACCCATAACGACACTGACAGGACAAAACATCGGGAAAAGGAGTTGAGGACTCTAACCAACCCTAACCATTACTCTAACACAGCCTATCAATTCCTAACCTAGCGTAACGTTAGACTAGCCATCGCGTCGCTGTCTCACCGTTTTGTGTTATGGGAATTTAATTGCTTATGCTTTATCCGAGCTTGTTATGAAAATAAACAGTTTATAGGAAAGAAAAAAGCCTCCGGATTGGGTAATTACAACTTTGTGCATCGAAAGGATTCCATTTTCTTTTAAATTTCCGAAATGTATTTTTTAATCTAAAATCAGAAAAATTTTCTCTTTTGCCTTATCATTTCGTTGCATGTGCATTTTTGTCAATATTTTTGTATTTATTCGAAAAGAAGTTTAAAAAACTTTTGCATGAGCGGGTTCTTTCTTTATTTCGTGTTATGATTTTATTTCTCCGTGTTCCTGTCATCGTATGAAACGCACGCTGTTATTTTTTTTAGGTGTAGTATCCATGACAAAACTTACATAGCGTGTTGATTTTATCTCCGTGATAGTTACAGCTAATAGAATATTAATTATACCTCTTAAGTACCAGTGGGGAAAGGTGGATTAGACCCGAATTTATTTAACCGCCGAGGTAATATGAACTGCCACGGAAAACAAGCCTACCTACCATGGACCGGGAGAAAAACAAATAACTCAGCCGTTCGGCTCGTTTATATTATTATTCAACTAGTTAGAGAAACGAGGGAATATTTCTTAATCACTTTCTTCCCCTTGGGAGGAAAACCTTAACCAATGCTCATTTGATTCTATTCATCGATAAAATACTATTGATTATAAACAGATTCTAACCGTTTACTATATCATAATATTATTTATGTCCATGCTAGGATGTGAGTTTCTTTTACAAAAACTTCATCTGTTTGCCTATTGTACTTTTCTAGTTCCTTAGTTCAGCGCAGTCTACTCGATCATTTACCTAAAAAGTACTAGGTCATTGACTGTCATTGCTATATTTCCTTTCCTTGGTTTTCTTTGTATCCCAGGTTATGTCTCCACTGAGCAGATGCTTCGCATTCGAAGATGAGATGGGTAGCTGTTCCTTCTTCCTCATTGCATAATCTATAGTTGGGCATAATCTAATTATTAAATTAAATGTAGATGTTTTCTGAGATATCAGTGGCCGGTATATATTCATATCACTCCTCTGAGTCTATGCCCTAACTGGAGCAGTTTGCCACTCTTGGTGAGGGTTGTTTTTTCTGCTTGTTAATGAGATTTTGTCAGAATCGACTAGAATCTATAATCGCATTTTTATATTTCAAGGTGTCGGAACGAAACATGATTTCTTTTAAAGCTGTTGTCGAGACACTGAGGTGGACCTCTTTGTTGAAGCATATGGCATTTACCTCCCGTGTCATGTTTTCTAAAGACTAGATGTCGCCATTATATATTTCAATGTTAATGTCTTTAAGTGCTTTATAAAAATGTGAGTAGATTGTTAATGTTCGTGAAATAAACTCAAGGATCGGCCACGAAAAAATATTCTTTTTTTAGATAGGAATAAAGAAAATTGGATAATTTAAATTTATGATAACAATGTGTAATGATATGTGTTTTGATAATTATTTCCTTACACCTGAGTTTAGTGTAAATTATTTATTTTATCAAATTCGGAGGTGCTTTATAGACAGCAACATAAATTTAATACGTTGGGACGATGAATTTAAGGATTGAGGCCCTTTATTGAAGAAAAATAAATTTTATTTTCTCGGTCATACTTCAGCTTTCATCACAACTAGTTTTTTGCGATAAGACATTTGAATCGAATGTGAAGTTTTAGATTTCTGTCTGTATTACAAAATCCTGAACCTGATAAAAGCTAAGCTCGAGCAAGAAAATAAAATTGAATTTATTTGTTAGACTAAGCTACAAAAAGTATTCTAACAAATATGTCATGAAAGCTTGCTATACAAGCTCAGAAGCATAATCACTTCAATGCTCAAACAATCGAACGACCAAGCCTAAAAACATTAGCACTTAAAAATATCACATCAAAAAGGAGAGCCAGGAAGAGCCACTTTATAAGAACCCTCTGAACAAGTGAAAAAAAAAAACAGCTACTCATGGTAAAACGTATGGTAGCACCATATATGGTTTTAATATATGAACCCTCATATCCCTCCTCCTGAGAGAGGAACAACAAAGGCTAGAAGGATAATTACACGTCAGATATATTTTTGATTTGGTAAAAAACTTTAGGCTTAAGGAATAAATCCTGACAACGAAGGATATGGCACAATGGACTGGTCGCGGTGCACTTGGTAGTAACGAGGTTGCCTTCTAACCTTAAACTTTATCGTTTCTATGTAACGGATTTTTTTACTCACATATTTTTTGTTTTCTTAACTTTCTAACCTCTCGTGGTTAACGCAAGTTGTCGAATTATTAATAAAAGTACTAAAATATAGACATACAAACAATTCACAGAAATATTTTTACTCTCGTGTCCCCTCACCTGTACTGAAAAGTGAAAATATAATTTCTTTAAAACAGCATTAGTTAAAGTAATTTTATACCAATAAGGTTGCAGATATAATCAGTGATATAATTAGCTGATTACCACTAACGAGGGGAAGGTGCATTACTGTCATTCGATTATATGGGTATTATTGAATTAATTATAACTTCTTTCTTAACCGAACCTTATCGATTATAAAAGAAATATCCACCTTTTTCTATTGCTGAGCTAGAGTTGGAATTATCCAAGCAATCAGATAAAACAGTAACCCTAACCCATATTTACCGAGGGCGAAATGTTAAGATTTCTCGGCACGCATACGCCGACAATGGAACTCCCTATTTTGAATCTGAATCGTTCCCCTTTGGAAAAACTTGTGAGATTAAATTCTTATCTTAGCAGGACTAGAGAGGAGACAAAATAAGGATTTGGGAAACAAACACCAACTTACATATTGAATCTAGTCGCATTGCGTCATTTCATCAGATAATTGGAGACGTCCGTTTTAGGGCCCGTTGCACCAACCTCGTTTAACCTTGGTTCAGTACTGAACGGAGTTCAACACAAATATCGGCGTTTTTCAATCTCTATTGATCCGAGATCAAGTGATGAACGTCGATCAATTCTGAACGATCGTCGAGCTCGGGTTAAACAGGGTTCAGAGCTGAACAACGTTCATTTGATAATATAACCTGCGCGTTGTTTAACCGTATGTTGAGATAGATCGAAATGGACGCATTTTTATCTAGTTATAGAGGAATTAACAGATGATGAAGATTTCCTTGAGTTATTAGCTCTACATATAAACAAAGAAAGGGTTTTTAGAACCAGACAGGAACATTTTCACGAATGGGATAACGATGAATTCTTCAATAGATTCAGAATGACAAAGAATGCAGTGAACTTCGTGTTAGAGAAAATAAGAAATTCAATCACTCATCGTACTACCAGGTAAGTGATATTAATTAGTTAGCTTTGAATAGCAATGATTTTTTTTTTTTTTTTACTTGATTGATAATGTTTTCAGAAATCAGGCTACCGCCCCTGAACTGATGTTACAAACTACACTTCGATTTTATGCAACAGGATCGTTTTTGACAGTTTGTGGTGATTTCAGTGGGTTGCATAAATCTACTGTATGTAGAATGGTGCGCAGAGTTTCTCGAGCTCTTGCATCATTGAGGCGAGAATTCATTCATTTCCCAAAAAACGAAGCAGGAAGAATGGCTGTCTGTGCTGAAATGTACAAAATCAGCAAATTTCCAAAGTGCATAGGTGCTATTGATTGCACTCATGTTCGTTTACAATCTCCAGGTATAAAACAAATTGCAAATATCTTTTTTCCATTTCTAGTTTTTCTGTTTAATTTGTAGGTGGTAATCAAGCAGAGCTATTTCGCAACACGAAAGGATTCTTTTCATTGAATGTACAGACAGTTTGCGATGCAGAGCTGAAGTTCGAAAACATTGTTGCCAGGTGGCCAGGTAGCACACACGATGCCCACATTTTTAGAAATTCAGTCTTAAAAACACAATGTGAAAATGGAGATATGAAAGATCTTGTTTTGGTTGGTGACAGTGGGTATCCTCTAAAAAAATGCTTGCTAACAAAATTAAATCACCCAACCACAAGAGAGGAAATACTCTACAATGAGTCCTTAATTAGGACAAGAAACGTTGTCGAGAGATCGTATGGTGTTTGGAAACGTCGCTTTCCTATACTTGCTATTGGAATGAGGTGCAACTTTAATTTGGTTGAACCAATTGTGGTAGCAACTGCAGTATTGCATAATATATCATGCATTTTCAAAGATCCGATTCCATTCATCAATGATGAAGTGGAAACACAAATTATTAACCTTCAGTTCAATCAAATTGGAGAAGTGGAATATGATGGGAACGCAAGAATTCCATTTATCGAATATTTTGATACCTTATAGAAACACCATCGAACGTATAGAAGTTATGTAAAGAAGTAATACAAAAATGTATATAAATATTTATATTGACATATATGTACATATAATAAAAAATAATAATAATTTAGTGTAAAGGAAATAATAAAAATGTAATGTAAATTAAAATAATCTAATCATAAGAAATACTACTTTTAATAAAATATAACTGATATGTAAACTAAAATAATGCATTAATCAAACAAAATAAATTTTAAAAATGCAACAATTGTTTTTATTCTGTTTTCTTTTTTGATCTTAAAATTTCCTTTTCTTGTTCAAGGACTTGAAGTCGTGTCTCATGCTCTATTTTTAAGTGAAGCATCCTTAAATTGGGTTCTTCCAAAATGCACTTCATGTTTAACTCGGTTTCTTTCTTATGGCATTCTATTTTATTGTCCAATTCTTCCAAAAAACATAAAAAAAGCAATGAAATCAACACAAATAGACTAGGGAAAGCGGTACAGCAAGCAATATAAACAATGAAAAACTACGACGTATAGCTATAACCGTACAAAATGGCTATAATCAGTTGTACCAACGACTGGTTGAGCAGCGATGAGCTGAACGGCGGTCCCCTGCACATGGTGCAACGCTCCCTTCTCTGAACTTCGTTCAAATTGTGAACGACGTTCCAGTGAACCCGGCTTGAACCGTGACGTGCAACGGGGCCTCAGAGTCCGAATTGGTCCGCTTGTTTTGGAAAAACATTCCTTTTCTTTTAATCTATCCAAGAAATTATAAAGCACTCAACTACATGAAAGCAACACTGCGTAAAATTACTTTTGATTCTTTCGTAGCACTAGTGAATTTTTTAATGTTAATTCTCGTCTATAGCTTGTTCCCTCAAATTTTTAGTTACGATCAATTCTAATTATTGTACGATGCTATATGTTCGTAAAAAACGTACTTAAAGCATCATAGAACACAAAATTTCATTTTAGGAGAAAGGTCGTATCACGCACGGTGGGTGGTGAAGTGCGAAAAAAAAGAATCTCCGTCTTTCATGGCGAAGTGCCGTTTGTGAGTTGGTGTGCCAAAGCGAACTGTCAAGTTTAGAAAACGAGATTTTTCCCCGGAAGACAAGGAACAATGGGGGGGGGGTTAAACCACTAATGGAAAATAATCCAGAGTATACCAACTCGGGAATATAACAAGGATAGTTTGCCCTTCCCTCAGGCCTTGAATTGCCGAAAATTAAGATATCACCACAATATGATGGTTCATTTTTTTTTTTTCGAGAATAGCGATGGGGGATGAAATGTGGATTATGAATATCAATTCAATTCGGTGGTGTTCAATACAAAAGCCGAACAAACCCTTCCATTAATCACTTCTAAGTTGTCCGAAGTCTTCGGCTAAAGGAGTTAATGCTATTCGTTTCATAGGATTGGAGTGAATTATTTTACAATGAACTATTTTATGATAATGGATTTCAGTTCCAAACTCTGCTAACAAACTATATACACCTGGTAATAGATACAATGTAAATGGAAAAGGTCAAGCCGAAGGTCGAATCCAACTTGTGAAACTAACTTTTTCATTTCAACCAAAAATCTTACATAAAAAGATTAATTAATTGATTTAAAAGTTGGCCTTTTTGATGGTTTGTAACAAACAAATTGAAATGAACGAGAAGGAGGCGATGGACTTTGGAACTCGTGGGAGACAAAAGTGCAGAAAGGCGGTGGAGAGGAGGCATTCCATTGGGAGACTGCGAACAAACCACCTCGGTCATAAAATAAGTGAGGTGCCGCAAGAAGACTTCGTTACACATGTGAAAGCCAAAACCAAAGAAAAATGGCAACTAGAATGGTTCAATACTAGGGAAAACAAACTTAGAGCCGTTAATGCGGATATAAGACTATGGACCACCTCAGCTACACTGTCTAGAAAAGAAGAATGTGTACTTGCGAGACTCAGGATAGGGCATACACNGCATTCATCGTGTGAGTTTTTTCCTATTCCATATTTCCTTAATTTTATTCCTTGGGGATTGCGCATACATAAATATGAATTCATTTATTTTTAACAATAGGTTAAATACTTCTTAATTATATTTTAAGTTTTTTTATATTGTTTCAACAAAAATTGATTTTATTTTTTTGTAAAAATTTAAGTTTGAAGATTCAATTTAAAAGAAAGAAGAGTGTAAATATGATTTTAGAAAAGAAATAATTGGATTGAATAAATTCTGTTTCCCTTACAGTGCCTTTTATTTCTAATCTTTTCCTTTTATTAAAATAATAGTAAATAGAAAAAAATTACAATTATTATTGTAATTGTTAAAATTGTATTTTAATTTCTTCATAAAAAAGACCCTAAAAGTCTAACAGGTTTTTAATGTTGGAATTGTTTTAATGAAGGAAATTCTATTTTTTTCGCGTTACCGAGAGGTGCGTTGAGTTAAGTTAGGATTGATAAGTTAACAAGGGTTAGGGATGTGGTTAGAACGGCTTATGTTATGTAGGGTTATAGTTAGGTTAGGTTGTCACGCGCCCAATTGGGCTCAGATCACATTATCATGACGTAGAGGGGGATGCCGAGAGCAACGGGATTTCGCAGACAGGTGCGAGAGAGAACCAGAGAAATACGGAATACAAGAAAGGATTGACTACAATTTTAAATTAAATTCATTTATTTTATTGTATGTCTGGTGGAATTATTCAGGATACTGTTTTATTATTTTTTATTATAATGATTTAAATGTTCTGTGATAGTTTAAAATTTATTGAGTAGTTATTTCTTGGCTTAATTAAAATCCGTAGAGGAATATTTTCTTTTCTTATTTTTTCCCCCACCTGAAAATTACGAAAGCAAATGCGTAAATAATTGTCGCATGATGCATCATCAGTACACGGTACAAATCGCTGGGACTGTTGACTCTTCGCTTCTAACCTAAGTAAAAAGTAAATTATTCATTTATTTTTTTACTCACGAATTGAATGGCAAAAGGTATTTCAAGTCAGAGAACTTTAACCCAAGGTCCGGGACAAAAAGTTTGCTCACTCAAATTGTTTCCTAGTAAAAAATGTTGACCAGTGATATTACATTTTTTGCAATAAAAAGTTTATTTTGCGAAATTTAGCATATATCATCTGCATTAGGTGTGAATAAACAATAATTTCTAAGAATATATACAAATAAGATCAAATCCATGCAATACATACGACTAATCCAGTTCTGTTGCTGCTTCCATTGTGATAACATTTACCTGTGCAATTGGGACGAGCAAAATCTTTAACATCAGTTGAGAAAAATATTATTCATCGACGGAAAAATCAAGGAGTTACTGATATCAAAAATTTTGATAGTAGTAGAAAAGTGATTTTCATCTTCTTGAAATATCCACAAAGCTATGAGACAAAGAAATCTCCTGGAAGTTGGCCCGCTTAACAATACGACACAAACGGGCAATTTTAAGGGCATCGTTACTTGTTGCAAATTGTTACAAGAGCCGGTATAAAGACAAATTGTAAAAACGTTCAAAAGGCCATTCGCGCAGATTCTCATATCAAAAGGAAAAATAATGAAATCGATACCATCCCTAAGTACGGCGCATAAAGAAGGACGGTAGAAGTTTGCCCGCGATCAATGTCCAATGGAAAGAGCAATGGAAGGAAGTCCTGTTCACCGAATAAAACATTCAATCTCGATGGTCCTGATGGTTGGGCTCACTATTGTCAGGACCTACGTAAAGAAGAAAAAGTGTTCTCTAAGAGGCAAATGAGGGAAGGCAACATCATGTGATATAGGGTGGGGCTACGATCACAAAACTGGCATAGAGTGGTATTCACGATCTTTGTGTTAACCCTGTCAACTCTGTTAGTTCCAGTTAGATCGAGAAAAATGATGACGTTGTAAGAATCGGCTAGATAACATTGCTCGATCAAACAGGCCAGGGCCAATAGGTGTTAGGTCGAAAATGTAGTCTCATTGCTATCCGTTAGGGCAGGGGTGCTCAAACTTGAACTGCTGGCGATCTACCTCAATATTTTTAGACTACTTACGATCGACTCTGAGAAGCTGCAAGTGTGTGTGATGCAGGGTTGTCGTACATACACGATACACCCTACCTACCTAGGTAGGGTGTACCGTAGCATATATAGATATTAGCTTTCTGCACAATATAGGTACATTATTTTAGTCAAGGTTTGGGTTAGGTTTAGTTAGGCTCTTCTCTACAATATCAATGAAAAAACTCATAGTTATTCAAAATTGCGAGTTTATTGGTTGTTACAAAACAAAAGAGTTACATATGGTGTTAAACTTAACTAAGGAGTGGCTTTGGATGTTGAAGCGTGGCACTGCATGTCCTCAGCATACTTTTCATAAGATGGTACGTAACCACTGAGTGCTAATCGCAAGCATGATGACATATGATCGTCAGTTAGTCGATTGCGATATTTTGACTTAATTATCTTCATTTCAGAAAATGCAGACTCGCACAAGTAAGTTGCCCCAAAAAATGCCGTCAGTTGAAGGGCGATTTGCCTTACATTCGGATATTTATCTTCAGATATAAAACACCAGAAATTTGTATCAGATGCTGTAGCTTTGAGATGTATATCTGATATAATCTGCACCAACTCATTTTCAACAGAACATGAGTTCATATTAAACTGACTTGCTATTTCAGTAGCTAATTCCTCAATGTTTTTACATGAAAAAGGATAACTCATAAATGATGCTATATTTTCCAATTTACTGCAATCATAAAAACGCATTTCGAATTGTCCCAAAATATTTGATAATTCAGCCTCATACGTATCATAATTGTTTCCAGTCATTGCTGGTGCTCCATCGGTTGTAATGCACACTAATTTATATATTGGTAGCTCGTAGTTTTTTACAAAATTGAAGAAAACGTCATATATATCTTCGCCACGGGTCTTCCCCTTCAGAGGAATGATTGTCAAAAATTCTTCCTTAGCCAACATGTCATTGAATACCATCCGAATAAAAATACACAGCTGGGCACTCTGTGGCGGAAAATCCTTTTCATAGTTTTTATGAACCGTTTTATGATGCC